ACCAAAAATTCTGAAAAAAAAGACTGTTCCAGGTGATATTCCAGGTAGCGGTTCACCTGTAACAATTATCTGCTGCATGCTTGCAAAATGAAGTAGGACAACCGCTAGGTGTCGCCACAACCGGCCATGCTACTATGTTTGAAAAGTTTTCTGTTAAAAATAGGTTGAATTGTTCAGCTGAAATTTTGCGAAACATGACGCGAAAAACTAGTAAAGTCTGTTTTTTTCCCACGTCAAAAATTTAATAACTATGTTGGCAACACAAGCCTTTTCTACATAAAAAATTTAAGGCATTGACAATTTTACATTGTATTGCCAACATAATGTCATTTTGACTTTTATCTTTAAAAAAAAAAACAGACTTTACATTTAATATTTATTGTTTGCCCACGGGTCCTTGACCAGCATAAGTCTCAACGCCTCAATGTGCGTTTTTCAAATGTAGGGCCCCTGCGGGGCCCGGGGCTTCAGCTCCTTTAGCCCCCCCCTTAATCCAGGTATGCTTATATGAACCAAAACTTATTGATTTGGTTGCCAAAATTAAAATTTTTTGGCCACCCTGTGCGATCTTAGTTGTACCTAGCTCAAAAAAGGCTCATACCTAGGTCCGTCGCAGGGGTAATTAATTTGATAAAACTCTGGATTCTGCGTACTATATAAAAAATTTAAGATAACGGAGGTACAGGTATTTAGGGATACTAAAATTAATAGATTGAAAATGAAAAAAGCAGTCTTTGATAGATTTTTCTGATGAAATAATGCAACTGTAGATTACTTATTATTGAATAACACTGATTATGCTGGACAAATAACGGCTTTTTTTCGAGAAAGAAAATGTAAGTAAAATGTTTTATGGTTGGATCCTTATTTTCGAAACTGGGTAACAGCGTTCTCATGAGAACGATTGATCTGGTCTTTGTCAGTGTTATATGATTATGGGCGACTAGGGCGACGCAGATAGGACCTTTGTTCTCATAAGAACGCTGCTCCCATGTTTCGAATTAAAGACCGTGGAGTCTTCTCAAGACCTTGAAATACCTGTAACTCCGGTATCTTAAATTTTTTGTGTAAACATTTTTTTGCCAAACAACTGATTTTGGTGAGATATAGATCTCTTTAAAAAAGCCTCACTTTCAGATTAACCCAGTATATGAAACACAAAAAATGTTTCTACGTATGTCCGTTATAGACTTTGGAACCATCCGACCGATGTGCCCCAAACCAGTTTAATATGGAAGGCAATAATGAGAAGAAGGTCTTAGAACACTAATGACAGGTGTCAACTGCCAAATGTGACAGGTGCAGATTTTTGAACCATTTCTTCGCAACTAATTTTACTGAAATTTTGCATACCTACACTTTAAGTTCGGGTGATAATACATTTTAGACTACTAATGACGGTTGTCAATTGTAAAATGTGACAGGTGCAGATTTTTTAACCATTTCTTCGCAACAGATTTTGCTGAAATTTTGCATACACTTTAAGTTCGGGTGATAATACATTTTGGAATACTCGACAGCTGTCAAATATATTTTTAGACAGATATAAGCTGTCAAAATATGACAAAAGAGCGTCATATGCCTGCCCGGTGTTCAGAATCGGAAACGCCATAAGACGTTGAAAAAAATTGACAGAAGTCAACTGTCAAATGGGACAGATGGAGCGGTGGACAGGTTGTCAGGACTACACCTGTCTTTAAAAATTTGCTTTTCTCAACAAATAAGCAATACTTATTTTTTTAGCGTAGTAGCACACGCCAGGTATCCGCTAGTATTATATAAGTTGCTGTCTCCTCTGGTGTACTACACAAATATTTAAAGCTCCTGCTGTGTAGCTCTAGAATGCCTTCAGCCAATTGCCTTGGAGGATGCTGTATAATCAGTTTTGTAGATGACTTTTTCCATATGGGCTTTTACAGTTCTTCTCAGCATCCTCATTGCAAGTTCTGGTTTCACTCGCTGCAGCTAGGCTGCTTTTGCATAAACAGTAACTTCAGAGTTTCCTCGGACCCAGCTGAATATTACCGAGTTGCTCTTTGCTAATTGTATTAGCTGTTGCAACAACTCAATGTGCATTTTAAGGACTCTTTTACTATTATCGAAGTATATTTTCTGTTAAAACCATATGTACAATGATCGCAGGCAAGCATGATAATTGTCCCAAAAACCTTCAAGCATTAACCTATTTAGCTAAATTCCTAATACATTATCTAACTGTTTCTTTAAATTATTTATTGATGTTTATTTTGAAAACAGGGGTCTTGACCAGCAGTGCATGATTGGGGTCACTGAGTAATTAACTATATAATTGTAAATTATGGTGGTTAATTGTGGTACCTACTGAAAATTTATGGTGGGTATTATAAGGGTTAGATATCGTAAGCCAATTAACCTGTTAAGTTGACACGCATATTGAGTGTGTGTAAAAATGTAGGGTAATGTATACTTATTGCTGTAAAATTCATATGTAATTATAGATAAGTAACAATCAAAAGAAAAGCAAATTTGTTTTTTAATAGTTGCTCTAGGAATTTGGCTATTACAGCACAACGCAGAAATTTTGGCTTCAATTTAGGTTCTACTAAAATAGACGATCAAGGTCTGACGGTCGATATTTTCATGTGATAAATTGATCGGTGGGGGTAGGTGTGTTTCAATATAAACACTGTAAATATGGAATATATGCCAATGAATTACGTAACATTTAAAGTTCTCTGAAGGATATATCAATAGATATAGCAATTTTCACATCTAACAATAAATTTTAAGGATAAATTATTGTCAAGTCAAAAAATTCGATGGTGCAGATAATTGGAACTGTCAACATTAGTCCACTGGAGTGCCAATTACTCGAAAAATTTATTATGTATTTTTTTTTTTTTTGTAAAATTAGGCAAAACTAATACAGCTTCCTTAGCTTTGGGCTAATACTCTCTAGTGTTACATATTGAATAAATAAAACATTTTGGAAGCAACATAGTTTTTGAAAACCACAAATAGCGATTATTACCAATGAAAATAATCGTAGAAATAAATTCTAAAGTAGGTATACAGAACTTCTAACATTACATTTCCACTGGCGAAGAAAGTTAACGAGCAGGAAGAGGCCCTTATTTACAAACAACAATGAACATAATTATGTTTGCATTGGCGTTCCACTGATCAATATTTCAAATACAAAATTGATCTGTTTTGACATTAGTACAAAAACCAGCACTTAAATTGGGGGTTTTATAGGTCATTAGGCAACATAGGAATAATTTATAAGATATATTACATCCAATCGATTTTTGGTATTTTTAATGTAGGTATACTTAATAACATGTATATTATTTCAGAATTATATAGTATAAAAATGGAATAAGGCAAGAGCCTATAATCAGACAGTGGTAGCAAAAAACAAATAAGCACAATCTAAGTTATATTGTTGAGAAACTATTATGAGTAATACGAACAAGCTAGTATCTTTCAATTAATTTAAATACTTAAGTATGACCTGCGTGCAAGGTATGCTAAAGAATGACAGACTGCCACGCACTAGTTGACGAATTGTTACTGATAAATGTTGACTTCATAAAATAAATGTTCTAATCCTCTATTCGTATCGCAAGATGTTCCTAATTATTTCAAGCTCAGCAAAAATCCTAGTGACGAATAGTCGAGTGAAGTTAGTTTATACGTTTCCAGATCCTCGAAAAGGTAAACGATATCCATGCGGATAGGTACTAACATACGTGTGTCAATTTGAAACATTTTCTGCCAGTTATCAAGTTTCACCGTTCAAGTTTGTGAATAAACGAACAAAAAAGATGTCAGATCATGGTCATTTAAACATTTCAGCTTGGAACGAAACAATGTAACTAGAAGTTATATAAACATAAATATAAACTACATTTAACAGCATCCGGGAGGCAAAGGGAACTAAATTAAAAAAACCAAAGGTATTTTTCCTACCAATTTAGGAAATGACGAAGATTCCCACGGGATTAGAAAAAGTTGATACTCAATGTAGCCCAATGAAACATCTAGTGTTTGAGCTCTTCACATATTCCATAAATGACAAGCTACCCCATGTCAGCTTTTGATGGTAAGAAACTATTCCAATCATTCGCGAAAATCCTGTACCAATACCAATAGATGGCGCTAAGTTATGGAGATTTAGCAATATGTCTGCCAAACTCAGTGAACAACAAAACCAGTTTTTAAGGTTAGTTTTTTATAAATTGTGTTTTGTGGCGTTTTCGTGACTATAGCAGGAAAAATTCATAAAAAGAATAATATTTTGTAGAAAATCATAAACTTCCAAAAACAATGCCGGGGGACGTTTGAGTGGCCCGCAGGATCCCCAGATCTGACATCGAATCCAAAGCTTCTTTTAACGGCACCCAAATTCACATCACCTGGATTCACGAGAATAGACAAATTCCTAAATGTAATCAGCAACGTTTTGCAGGAATTGAAAGATACGCTTGCCTCCTGTCACCTGTCACGGGGCAACTGTCAATATTTCGAGAAGAGTTGTAGATAAGTATAGGATGTATAGAAGAAAATGTGTTCAAAACTTGAAAGGCTCTGAGAACGAAATGAAATACAGGATGTGACATTTGAAAAACAATATCGTTTTTGAGACACTGCTCTGAAAAAATATTCAACTGAAAAATTAAATCTGAGCAATTTTAAAAAAAAATTGATAGTTTTTAAACCCCTGTAGATGTTTCACTTTATATTTGCAGCCCACTGAAATTTTCCGACTTGATGAAATGAAATTTATTGTTTGTTTGTTTAGGTATACTCTTTTATGCATGTTTCCATGTACAATTAAATATATTCTTCATATTAAAAGGTCATTAATTTTAATTGTATTTATATACATTCCTATTAATTTTATAACAAAACATCCTCGATGCAAGGAATACCATACCGCAATTAATTGGTAAGTGGAAAAACACATTTTAATGAAAGGTGAGTATAAATATTGTAAAATTAATATATCTACTTACAACTAGGTATCAAGTTTTTTTGTTGACTAAGTTGCCTTACCTGAAAAAAATAAATAAAAATAATTTATTGAAAATCTTATGGTGACAAATTGATTAACCCAAACCACATAATAATTGTTCAATAGGAATTGCAATTTATATTTATTTCTCATTAGTTACTTTAATGGCAATTCAATGAAAATTGTAAAATAAAATTGCATTTTTTTTTTTTACAATAAACTCTTCAATGAATTAAGGTTTATAATTTTCAAGGGCTTATTATACTCATAGGCTCAAAATTGAAACAGTACCTACTGTAATATGCTCTACAGTTTACACTATGTAAAATGGTTTGGGGGTTGATAAACTATAGGTCTATGAAAGTGTAAAACCGGAAACTTCATACATATTTTGTCTTGCAGATGTCTTCAAATAAAATTGAGGGTGGGTCTAGCTTTCAAGCAATAATCTTTCTAAACTGTACATAAATATTCTCACAACATGTTTCAACTAAATGTCATCATTTATAAATATAGAAAACTTCAAAAATATGCCTTGAACTAAGGCCACATGAAAACATTTATCATTTTCCTTTCAATTTTTGGATTTAGCTTTTTTGTTAATTTGTTTTGTTTTGTTTCTCTTGTTTTCTGCTTTGTATTTTACTTTTAATTTTAGTTTGTTAATTCTTTTGGCACTCTTTGATTTGGTTTTCATCAAGTCACTAATCTCAATAGGTCAAGAAATGCCGAGTTAAACTATGAAACACTGGCGTAACTCTCATAAGGCAGTTCGGTGCAAATCACCGAGGCCCCAGAGACTTGAGGGGCCCCGCATTTGTTATTGTTATAAGTACTTATTTTAATAAATTCGTAAAAATTTGAAAAAAAAAAAATGTTTTTAAATGTCTGGAAATTGTAGTACAAGTTTATAATAAAACGTTTTTCACCTTAGGTTGTCGACCTTGTCTGTCTCAGGGGGCCCCAAAATATCTTGCATTCTATTGATTGTGCATTCTTCTGGGCCCGTATTCTCGTAACGGGGGAACAGCATTCTCTCAAGAGAACGATTGCTCTGTCTTTGTCAGTATTATGGAAATAACAATATGGGTGACTAAGACAGAGCCAATCGTTCTCTTGAGAGAACGCTGTTCCCGGTGACGAGAATACGGGGCCTGGGTAATCTCCATTCTCAAGATGGAGTGAGGAGAAAAATTGCGGAAAGCCCATGCCTTCTTGAATAGAGAAACAAAATGGTAATAGATAAGTTAACACCAATAGGTGAACAATTACAAAATATTTTTTTTTTCTACTACCATGCGTACCTATAAAGGACTCACTTTACGGTTTACGCACTATTCAAAAAGGGTAAAATTTCACTTCACGCGCTAGTAAAGTACAAATCACTTTACACACTAGTGCGTGAAGTAATGTCAATGACAGATGTCGACATTGTCAATTTAGTATTTTTCTAGTAAACTTCTTTTAGCACTAGTACGTAAAGTGGTAAGCAATATGTACCTATGTAAAGCAACTTTTTTCAATCATATGATTGTCAAAATTCACATTCGTGTAAAGGTTCACCTTACACACTTGTTACATAAATAGCTATTTTGAAGGCTTAAAATTTTTTGGGCATGGTACCCAAAAATGGCGGCGAGGGGGGGGGGGTTTATCTAATCAATCACTGTAATCTAATCTTGCACCGAGGCCCCCTGATGTCAAATTATGCTACTGCTATGAAACCGCTAATTTTTGCAGAATTTTGACGTACCTGAATGTTTTTTGCGGTTTAAAGTGAATGAAATATGCGATTTTTTGACGTTATTATTTCGTCGATTTAAAAATAAGCGAGAACCAATTTTTGCAGTGGCTTGGTAATTCAATTTGAATAAGTCTCCATTGGAAACGCTTAAAATTATTGCTTCACAAAAATACCATTAATTTTTTATCGCCACAATAACCGATAATTGTTTCAGTGACGAAACCATTGGAAAACTCGTGCAGTTATTGGCCATTATAAATGCTTAATTAGTCAATAGATAATCCAAGTAAAGCGAATGATGGCAAATTAGAGTTTTCGCAGTTTTGAAAATATATTTTGTGCTTTATGGTTTATTTTAATAAAATGCCATAAATCATTGCCACTTACGCAAAATTTTCCAAAAAGGATTTATTTATCCTGTGGCATATAAAAACTCTATTCATCCATCAATTACTCTAAACGAATATTGAATCTGGTTATATAAGGTTTTGATTTATTATTGTGGTATTGCGACAAAAAAGCAAATACCCATACATATCTAATAATCAGGTTCCAGGCTAAATTAATCCCTGAAAATTGATTAGCAAGCAATTGGAACCTTGTGATTTTTTGGTGACGATATACCGGGCGATTTTCATAATTCATGCTAAAATAACGTCTGTGATGTACTGAAAATAAATGAAAAGCTATCCATTTTCAGTAGGCCCCCTTTTCAAAAAAAATCTTTTAACTTTCATTGAAAACCACTAACGAGTGGGATCATTGAGTAGGTCTGTGTGTCACCAGTAGTTAGTGGGGTATGTTTTGAGAGCCAGTTAAAGACCTAAATAATAAGTATTTGATTAAAAAAAAATCAACAACTATTACCCTTCACAACATTCAAAAAGTCCATATTTTTATCTGAAAATTACTAGACACAAATAGGGAGTAATAAGACGAATTAGCTTATTCCCGGCTTAGGCGAATCGAGGTGGTGCTGCCGGAGCCGAGTATAGCCAAGCTGCTGAAGATGTACGAATTAGTAACATGCAGTAGGGACAATGAATGATCCACCATGACAATTTTGCAGTGAAATGGACATAAGTCAACCGCTCCCATTGAAGCGTATATGTGCCTAGTAGCCTAGGTCCTGTCTGTATAGCCAAATTATATTTGTATAAATAGATTATTTAAATATTAGCCTCATAATCAAAACATTTGTTACTTTTCGATGAAAAGAGATATTGAGGGCTTGAATGGTCCATAAGTCACAACTAATTCGTATTTAATATTCAATATCCGTATTTCTCATTGACAACGTCGCAAAATATACTGTTAAAAGCAATGTTGCCATGACATTTATGTTAAAAATTTTCAATATAATTTTTGCAAAACTATTTTATTATACTTAGAAACCATGGTAAGGCGATTTTTTTAGATAGTTGATAACGAAATGACAAAGATTTCTATTGTCTAATAATTTTTTTTTATAGATTAGTAGGTAGTTATTTTGAAGTAATTTTTTCTAGGAACCTACGTGTAATGTAAATGAAGGTATATTAGGGGAAGCTGTTGTATAATGGGACAGGTTCCATAGTGGGACAATTCAAATTGACCGCCACCGGAAAAAAATTGTGTCAACTGCATCCTATATGTCCATTAGATATAACCTTGTCATTCGCCGTTATAGTCTTCAATATGCCGTCATTCTTGTAAGTGTAAATATCAAAGTGACAAAGTTTCTTTTACGACTATGACGTGTTCGGCATAGTTTTGCCAGTAATATCCATTAGTTTGTCCTGAATTTGACAGAAATTGTGCCCGAAGGCGTCTTGAAGGTGACTTAAGGCTCTTTTTTACTAATATTTGTTTATTTATATATTTTTTAATTCAGAAAATGTTAAATAGTGCATAAGGGGACAGTGTATAGTGGGACAGAATTTTCGGGATGCAGAAAAACATTTTATTTGCACTATCTATAAAAAAACAGTTTCGTTTTTTCAAGTTTACCTAGTTTCAATAGGTGCCTTTTTTCTTTCAGAAATGAATAAAATAAAGGTCTGGAAAAATAAAAAAATAGCTCTTCAGAGTCGGAAAATATACCTTGAGAATGTTGAAAAAAAAATGATGAAGGCGGTAGAGACTGTTCAACTGTTCTTAAAAAGAAAATCAATATTACCAATGCTGAAGCGCGTTTAGAAATGGAGTGTGAAGGTAGAGTAGTTGTTTGTCAGAGTATTCTGACGTTATCACTTGGAGTGCACTCTGGGCGCGCTATTTCTGAACGTATGGGGCGTTGCGGTAAGTGTCACTGACATGGGGCACGTCAACTCTCGATTTTTGAACGATTCCAGCGTAACGCCTCGAGTAAGCACCTGGTAATTTATGAACGGTTTAGATTTACTCTAGGGTCACTCTCACACCCAGAGTGCTATTTCTAAACGTAACCCTGCAGTTCAATTTGGAGTGAGCAAATCAGCGTTGCATGGACACTTAAGTTAACGCAACATGGTTTCAAGCAGATTTTTAGTGACGATGAAGACCAACTGTTTAGCAAATATTTAGTTACTTCTTCTTAAATGTGATACACGTTGAAAAGCAAAGAAACTAGAAACTAGAAAGTTGACTCATAGATACGCTGTCGCAATTGGAAAAAAAATCCAAAAACATAAACAGAAATGGTTCAATGTTTTTGGAATTTGATATAAAATAATTTTAAGAACGCCCGAGTCCCGAAGCCACAAGTCTGAACCATAATGTGGAACTTTTTTTCAGAAACTTGCGTATTTTGTTAATAAACGACCGAACTTTCTTTTCTATTTCCATATTTGGCTTCAAAAAACATTCAACACACTATACACATGCATCATTCCCAGTATATGTAACATGGGGTGGTTGCACTACTTTCGAATATATTAGAATGTTCTCAATAGTTGAAAATTATTCAGCAATTTTATTTTATTTCAATTAGAAAAATATTGTCCCAGTATACAACAGTCTCCCCTATGTTATTGGTTCCAATTTTTAAAAACAAAATTATCTGTTACTACGTCACGATTTATAAGCTACTTGATAAAATTCATTTATAGTGTTCACGTACTATATTATACATAGTTATAATCTAGAATATTGAAAATGTATTGGACACCGTCAACAATATGTTTCGAGCAATACCTACGTATCGATAAAAATACATAATAATGTACCTACGTCATAGGCGCCTTTGTTGAAGCTATCGGTATTTAAACACGCGCGACAACCGTCAGTATTTTTAGAGAACGTGGGCGATTCTCGTGGAGGAATCTCTGGAGATTCGGTTTACGATTCTTTTAACATCAAGACACAATGTATGGATTTACAAGAAAATAGCATGAAAAATGGGAAGATGGTAAGAAAAAAATAGTCAAAAAACTCCACGGAACTTCATATAACAATCAATAGACAACGAATCAAAGAGACTACTTACAAAGAAAAGTCCAAAACCAAGAATCGGAAGATATTTCAAAATGATTTTAAAAAGACAAGCAACAATAAAGCTTCGGGGGAAGATGTTCTAGTTACAGAAGCTACAAAAATAGTTGGGCCAACTCTAATTTGAAAAATTCAAAATCTGTTCAATCTGGTCTGCAGAGTCATGAAATTCCGGAAAACTGGAACAACTCAATTATGATCTTGTTTCATAAGAAAGGTGATAGAACAGACCTCGAGAACTACAGACCAATAAGTCTACTCAATCACCTATACAAATTATATACTCGCATAATAGTAAATCGACTAGACGCTAAATTGGACTTTTATCAGTCTCAGGAACAGGCTGGTTTCCGCTCTGGGTTCGGTACCAACGATCACCTTCAGTTTCTCAAAACCCTCATAGAAAAGGGTATTGAATACAACCGTACTTTGGTATTGGTGTTTGTAGAATTCCAAAAGGCATTCGACACCATGCAATCTTGAGATCACTACAAGAAAGTAGATTGTTGATCACCGATATTGCGAAATTATTGAAAACATATACGGAAACGCAACGACCACCGTAAATCTTCACTCTACCACCAGAAAAATTAAAATCAATAGAGGAATCGGACAGAGTGACATTATGTCACTCAAACTGTTCATTACAGTTCTCGAAGTGTCTTGGGAGCGAAAAGGAATAATCATCAATGGGGAAAGTCTTAATAATCTTTGCTTTGCAGATGATATTGTCCTAATATTAGACAGTCTGGGCGAAGCTAAAGAAATGCTCCAGAAACTTTAAAATTCCACGCAAGAAGTGGGCCTAAAGATGAACTGGTTCCCACTGAGCAAATACAGATAGACAATAATAACACAGAAATAGTAAACAAGTACGTAGTGATGCCGCGAGACGAGACTAGACGAGACTTAGGGTTGGTCTCGTCTCGTCTCGACATCTCGAGACGAGACCGTAACTTAGTCTCGGTCTCGAGTACCAGAGTCTCGTCTCGTCTCGAGTGGTCTCGTCTGGTCCGAGTTATACAGGGTGTCCAAAAAATAGCGTAAAAACTCTTCTCTACGTGGTGGAGGACCCCCCAGAAAAATATTTTAAAAAATCTAGTGGCATTCTTAAGAAAGTTATTTGCATTTTAATATTTATTAAAATTGGCAACACTGAAAATATCTCGTTGACAATATGTCAGAGAATTAAATTAAATACCCCTGTAATTACCTGAAGAATTCGAAGGTGAATTTTCACATCTACCTCTTCATATTGCCAAGAATAATGCTGGAGAATGATTTTTTTAATTTAATTCTTTTTCTAGGGTTTCTCAAAGGGTCCCCTACTATGTGGAGAGTTTTTACGCTATTTTTCGGACACCCTGTATTTATGGTTTTTATTTTTATATTACAACGGAAATCCAGACTGCCACAGTGAAAAAGCAATTAGTGAAAAATCGCAGTAAAGAGTAACCGTGATATTTAATTTCCTGAATTCATATTCAAATAGCCCAAATAGTCCAATAATAAAGCAATGAAAGAAACATTTTAAGTGTAATCTCGAGACTCGAGACTACACGAGACTCTCGCCGAGTCTGGTCTCGTCTCGTCGAGACTTCACGAGACGAGACCAAAAGCCAGTCTCGTCTCGAAAAGTCGAGAAGAGACGAGACGAGACGAGACCAGTCTCGAGTCTCGCGGCATCACTACAAGTACGTATACCTGAGATGAGAATTCACATAACCAAACATGAGAATTGACGAGAAAAATAACCTTGGGAAGGACAGCATTCGGGAAATTGAGAAATGTGTTTAGGGATGACATCCAATATCCCTGAAACGAAGAGCATTCATCCAGTGTGTCTACCCACTCCTCATTTATGGTGTGGAGACATTGACTTTCACTAAAGCATCAGCAGAAAAGTTGGAGTAACACACAGAGACGAATGGAAAGATCCATGCTTTGATTGACTTTAAAAGACCGAGTAAGGAATAATGAGATCTGCATAAGAACTGGGGTAGACGATATTGTAGAACGTATCGCAAAACAAAAGTGGAAATGGGCAGGCCACGTTGCAAGATTTGACTGAAAACGAGACGAAGAAACTCATTGAGTGGAGACCAAGAGCCGACAAACGAAACCGAGGAATACCTCCCACTTTCTGAACAGACGACCTAAGAAGATCAAATTCGCAACTGCTCAGAACAGAGACAACTGGAAAATTTTGGAGGAAAACGGGAACAGAGGCTGTTTGATGATGATGATGAAGACAAAAATTGATACTGATGGGTTTGACATATTCATACATCGATATGTCCGATGTATCAAAATAACACACGCTTGAAAAGTGAAGAAAAGAGCATATTTAAGTTGATTCAGTTTGAATTTACATGTTAAATGTTAAATAAAATCCGTTTTTTTATTTAAAATTTTCCGATATTTTAGATACCTACTACAATCCAGAGTACTAACAACCTTACCACTAATTAAACACATATGTATATCTTGATATATCTTTTTTTTCTTAACTTTACTTTTAATGTGTTTTCAATATATTTTTTATTGTTTTTAATGCCAATTTTCTTTAGATGTTTCGGCAAGCTGATTGCCTGATTTGCTGTTTTCTCCAACTAGCTTTATTTTTTTTACATTGTTACTGCCGAATATGTTTTCTTTGTGAAAAGAAAAGAAAATTATCACTATAATATTCCAAATGGGTAGCTTTTTTGCATAAATATCTACGTGGTCTCTCATGCAAATGGTTGCTTTGATATAAATAACTAAATTATCAAATCCTAATTAGCTCATTCTATTTTATTACGGCCTGCTGAAGTATTCTCGATAATCAAATGACCTTTACGAGACATCAATTAGCAAGCAATCAATTTAAAATATCTTTTTTAACATAAAGTATTTTGGGTTAGATAAACCTTTAAAACAAATATTTAAAGTTTTCCACATCGCATCTAAACAAATTTTAGTTCCAATGTTTAGAATCCAACACAATTATTTCAAAAATGCTTATTTATTCACATTGTTCTATTGAACATTGTTAAGTAAAAAATATAGTGACGTAATTTTTTGGTCTGACAGATAAGGGAAGGTTGACCATTGCGGTATATGTTTACCGACCTTGGGGTTGACGTTATTTACTTTGCGTCCCACCTAAATCAACCGAAATGTAATTCTTTTTTAAAATAAGTGCAATAGAAAGCTTTCCGTGAAACAATAAATGGAGTGCCAATAAAATCTGAATGTGAAAATGTCAGATGTTGAAATATATTTTAGTCTAAAATTTAATTTTCTAAATTCATATTGTATTAATCAGCAGAGGTATAATGGCCAACAAATACTGGACATCGTGCAAAATCAAAGTCCAGGGGCTTAAAAAAGTTCACGGCCAGAACAACCCTAGAAAAATATGCGTTCGGTGCTATTTTTAAATTGGTAACTCGATTTATCGAAACCCTATGTTGAATTATCGCAATTAGATAATGTTTAATGTGATGTAAAGGTTTGATATGCAATTAATAGAAGTAACTCCTTAACTGAAATTTATATGGAATCACGATTACAGTACTTAAAAATGTGTAGTTAGGCCTTAATTTCCAGAATTAGGACAGCTTAATAACCGTCGTCGGAATCAGGTTTGTTATGAGATTTCGAATTTTATGATTACTAGAGCCAAGCTTAAACGTTTTAAATTTTATCTGCTATCTAGAAATTCGAGATTTTTAAATTGCAACAACATTGCACATGCTTCTAAATTATTGTTTTCATTTATTGTTGTTCTAATGCGATATATGGGATTTCAATTGGGTTAAAAATCACTAGTTTTTGCACTGGATCAGTTATTTAAATCTTGCCAATATATCGATATGTGATTCTTCAGAAATTTGATTGGGCTAAATGTAAAATGCATCGGAAAGTTGACAAGATCAACATCCAGGTGGTGCAAAGTCCTTATTGAATTTTAAGTATTTCTTGTTTATTTCATAATAATTGTAAAATTCAATGTATATAATCTGTGTTTGTAAAACTTAGAATTTTATTTTATTTATTGAAATTCAATCAATAAAGATTCTGATAATCACTTACCAATTCAAACGTCACATCACACACAAAAAGACTCGTATAAACAATAGTAACTTCCACTTGTTTCTCACTTATACTTGAAGGGATTAACCAACCGCGTTTGCGGTTAACAACAAAAATAAATTTAATCAAAAATCCAGTCTGCGTTATCTCTCCCAAAAATAAATCAGCACCTAAACACCTAGTGACTAAAAATTATCAGTCTGGATATAGATACACTGGCCGCGTTAGTCCCCAATTCCCAAATGATTGCGGTCCCAGCCAAAACGTTGATTTTAAAACCAACAAAATGGTGATTCAGATACCAATTTGCTGGCCCACTTGCCAAATTATGCTATGGAATGAAAACTTTTCCTCAGTGTTTACTGGCGATGATTATTTTGGCACGGTAACTCTTTATAATGACAAAATAACGTCAGTGAAATTGTTTTTGGACATGTTTATGTGGATTTCTTTTTTAGCAATGGTAAATATAGTTTTTCTTTTGTTTGAAAAAGTGGACGCTTTGGAGCTTGGGTGAAAGTAAATCGCGGTAACGGTTTCGTAATCTGCACGAAAATAACATTTGTTGTTTTCGAGGCAGGCTTGTATTTACGAATTTGGAATTTTCCAGCCTTCGAATGAGTTCCTGATTATAATGTTTTCGACAATTAAGTTCTAAATTGGACGCTTTGTTTTTCCAGTTTGACGGAAAGTTTTTACTTGAAAATTTACTTTCCATTGAGAGTAATGTCACAAATCTCAAATAGCTTGTCTATAATGAGACTTTGAAGAACTTGATTTTATATGAAAAAAAATTTTAGAAAAAGTTAAACGTTTAGTTTAGGTTATGGTTATGGTTAGGTAAGGTTTTAAAAGGTTTGCCCTACAATTATCGAGCTTGAACTCGAAGGCCCGTTATTATTCCTTCTTCAGAGGGGTTCCCTACCAGATCTTTAACACGTTCCTCCTTTCTGCGTTTTGTGCCAAAGCATGGTTTTTATGAAGTTCAGTATTTCCATTGTCCCTATCTTTCCCGCGTATTCCAGAACCTCCAGGGAATTTTGCCCTAGGTGGTGTAGGCGTTCCTCCTGCAGGGCTCGACAGTGACATAGTAGGTGATCTATTAATTCATCCTTCTCAAAGCATACTTCTCACAGTTCATTGGTCCCGAGGCCCCATTTATGGAGCATTGTTCCGACTTCACAGTGTCCTGTGATTGCCCCTACTAAGGTGCTTATCGATTTTTTGTTCAGTTTTAATAATTTCCTGATTTTCTCTATATCCATATGTACAGCCACAGAGCTCGTGATTTTACGCAGTCATTGTGATTGTTTCATTTTCTGCTGTGCAGCTGTGTCATGGTTTTCTCGAATAAATCCTTCAACAGTTTGATCGTTTGTTGTGATGAGCCGTCTGTTTCAGCTTCGTTCTTTTTCATTCCCAGTTTTGTCAGTCTATCTGCCATTCCGTTTCCTTCGATATTGTTAAGTGCAAGGTTCAAAAACTTTACTCCAAGACAATTTCTATACCACAATAATTCACTCTGCTTGCAACCAGCCCTGTGTTTTGAAAAACCCTAGTGACGTCAATCAACAGTTTTAGTCAAAAACACACCTCAAACACATAAATACATACATACATAGTCAAAAACACAATACTTTGCTACATATGGAAAAATCTAGGGATGAGAATAGTCAAGTTTTACAATCATCCAACATTTCTGCACATTCAACTTATGCTAATCATGTAGTTCTATTATCTACAGCTGTCATTTATATTTTTGATAGGTTTAACCAGCCTCATAAATGTCGTGCACCATTGGACTCAGGGAGTTAGAGCAATTTTATGACCAAGGATCTGGTTGACAGCTTACAATTGTCACAAGATTAGACAAATATTAATATCACTGGAGTAGGTCAAAAACTAATGGAAATTTCTAAGATTACAAGTACCACAATAAAATTAATCAACAATGAATTTATTGTTAAATTGTCATTTTTAATTTTGCCAATAATCACTGAAAATATTCCATGTTAATCATTTGATTTGAGTAACATTTCTCATGTAAGTCTGGACCTGTTGATGTTTTAATTAGGCAATCCAACGCCCTGTCCAAATGGCTCCTGGTTGGCAAACACGGGTCGAGTTCTCAAATCTGACTATCTGACATCGTTGACATGTAACAACCCGTATTCTAACCTCATAAAAATTTCAAAATGCCAGCTGGTTGGCAAAAGTCACGTGGCTTGGATTCCCTAATTGGTGTACAGTACAGGAGTAAATTCAGTTGGGTTCTGGTGAGCCAGTTTTACAAAACACAAGGTTTGGCTGGGTATTGTCAAAACAGAAAAAATTATGTCATTTTAGTTTGAATAAACAATTATCGAAATTTTGGGAGCTGGAAGAGATGCCCAATAAACATCATTTATCAATTGACGAGCAGTTTCGTGAAACCTATTTCAAGGATACAACAACAAGAGATGAGGATGGACATTTCATAGTCAAGTTACCTTACAATGATTTAGTTTATAATTTGGGCAATTCTAAATCAAGTGCTCTAAAACGATTTAAAGCACTTGAACGTCGTTTTTATAAGTCTGTTGATTTCAAAGCTTCATACGTGGAGTTAATTGATGAATACATTGATATGGGTCATATTATGTCTATTGTCGACTGTGACAGTGATAATTCTTTGAGTTTTTACCTTCCTCATCACGCAGTTCGGAGAGAGTCTAGGACAACCACCAAACTTCGGGTTGTGTTTGATGGTAGTGCTGCAACCGACAGTGGCATTTCACTGAATGAATGTTTACGAGTAGGGTCAATAATTCAGGAAGACATTTCCAATATTGTTATTCGATTTCGATTCCATGCGCTCGTAATTACCGCTGATATAGCAAAAATGTACCGTATGGTTGAGGTTCACCCTGATGATAGGAACATGCAACGCATCCTCTCGCATTATTCAAAAGATCAACCAATTGAATCCTATACCCTATCAACCGTGACCTACGATACAAACCCAGCACTATTTCTAGCTACACGATGTTTGCATGAAGTAGCACATCAAACTATATCTCAATTTCCCACTACATGCAAAATAATTTTGAAAAATTCCTATGTGAAACAATTTTGAGTTCTTATGGTTTTCATCTTCGAAAATGGTCATCAAACAATGTTAATATTTTACAAGACCTAGATAGTGCTCCTTTTACAAAATCATTTATCAGTGATAGTCACGAAAAGGAACTAAAAACCTTGAGATTAGTGTGGAATTCAGGAAAGGATACATTCCAGTATACAAATAACGGTATTTTTCGTGAAAAATACACAAAACGTTTAAGTACATTCGGCCATAGCCCAGATTTATGATCCATTGGGTCTGGTTGGTCCAATTTTGATCAAGGCAAAAATTCTAATGCAAAGATTGTGACAATGCCAACTCGGTTGGGACGATACTATTCCTCAACAATTTCTTGTTGGTTGGCAAACATTTTAAAATCAATTACAATCACTAAATGTTATCACTATTCCACGATTTTGTCTTGTATCTCCAAGAGAACGTACAGAGATCCACGAATTTTGTGACTCATCAGAATTTGCATATGGGTGTTGCATATATTTTCATTGTGTTAGTAAGGGTAGTATTTCGGTCAGGTTATTGTCAGCTAAATCTCGAGTAGCCCCATTAAAAAAGGTGGCTCTTCCTAGTCTGGAACTCTGTGTTTATTGTTGGCAAGGCTTTTTGATAAGGTTAAGGATGCATTACAGTTGGAAATTGATCAAGTATCTTTACGGACAGATTCAACGATCGTTCTTTTTTGGATTTCGACTCGGACTTGTTATTTAAAGACTTTCGTAGCAAATCGAGTGTCTGAGATAATCGAACTCACAAATATAGAGGATTGGCGATATGTCAGCACAGTTGACAACCCTGCTGACATAATATCTCTTGGTTTGAATCCTGATATGTTACAGAAAAGTCAATTGTGGTGGTTTCGTCCTAGTTTCATCCAGGATTGTATAGAAAATTGGCCCAATGTCATTCCTGTCCAAAGTGAGATAACAAGCATTCCAGATGTCAAACAAAAAACATTCACATTTACCACATTCGAACATGATTTTTCAATTTTTCCGAGATACTCTTCTATATCGCGGTTACAACCTGTTGTTGCTTTCATATCACGATTTAGAACCAATTATCTGTCGAAATTTAAAGAAGTTTCTAATCTAATGGTTCAGGAACTAGAAAATGCACGATTGTGTTTTTTGAGGTTAGTACAAAAACAAGAAACAATGAGAAACAAAAGGCTTTAAAATCTACGAGCAGATTGTTTAATTTAAATCCAGAGACGGACTTATCCGAGAGAGAAGGTTAAGGAATGCCGAGTGTTCTGTGGATCAGAAAAATCCAATTATACTTTCGCAAAAATATGTCCTAACAGAACTGATCATTGTTCATTTTCATCAAAAATATCTACACGTAGGTACACAGTCCCTTCTTGCAATGATTCGTTTGCAATATTGGCCACTATCTGGTAGAGAAGCAATAAAACGAGTCTTGTGAAAATGCTTGCGGTGTTTTAGAGCCAACCCTATACCACTCACTCAGCTGATGGGTGACTTGCCACTTGTAAAGGTTTCTACATTAGGAACATTTTTTAAATGTGGAGTGGACTATGCTGGTCCATTCATGATCAAGGATGGTGTATTGAGAAGATCTGAAATTATTAGGGAATACATACAGTGAGGACATAAAGTCCGTCGCCCCCCCTCTAACTTTTGAACCGCTCGGTATATTGCAACGAAATTTGGAATGATGATATGTGACTAGATTCTCCATTTTTTGGAAAACAAATGACAGCTTCAGCTGTCAAAATGACAGCTAGGCGCAGTTTTGAAACGTTTTCTAAAATAGAAGGCAGTGTCGAATGATATATCGTTTTGAAGGTCTCTTTATTCTAAATTTAATCCCCGATTCTGAAAACATTTGGTTTAGCTGTTTTCGAATGATGACGAAAAAACCAAGGCTTGTTTTGCTCATAAACACTCATTAAAAAAAAATGAAATTTTTTTTTATCGGTTTTTTTATTCATTATTTAAGTTACCAATGTCATGACGTCATTTTTATTACTGAAAAAAAGACACTCATGAATAAAAAAGCAATAAAATTTTTTTAAATATTTTTTTCATGAGTGTTTATGAGCAAAACAAGCCTTTGTTTTTCCGTCATCATTTGAAAACCGCTAAACCAAATGTTCTCAGAATCAGGGATTAAATTAGGAATAAAGAAACCTTTAAAACGATGTATCATTCGACACCGCCTTCTATTTAAAAAA